GCAGCATATGCTCAAGGATGCTCAGGGCTCAAGGACACTTGGGGCTCAAGGGCAGGGTGACCCTTGGGGTTGCAGAGCCCACGCTCCTGGGAGCTGAGCAGACAGAGACCCGCCAGCCTGCATCCAGGGGAGACACGCCCTTGCCCTGCACTGCGCCCACCCCCAGGGAGGGAAGAGGCCCGGCCACGGGGAGGGGATTGAGGGCCAAGGGCGTACCATCCTTCCACAGCTCTGAGACGAACTTGTCGGAGGACTGGTGCAGCAGCGTGGCGATGTTGTCGTTCAGGGGGTCCATGTTCTTCATCAGCCACTCGTCTGCTTTGTAATCCACCTGCAAGATCGGAGCATCCAAGTCACGGGCTGCCCTGGGGACACCGGCGCACAAGCGCTGAGGACAAGCTGAGCCCACGTGCGGAAACGCTAAACGCCGCGAAGACGCCTCGACCTGGCAATTCATCCCCAAGAAAGACATGACAAGTGACAAGGGCAGAGGCCACCACAGGATGTTCTCTGCATCGTGACGTGAGAGAGAAAAAGCTTAAACCACGCAAATGCCCAGCAAGCAGGGGACTGGCGAAGAAAACTGTCGCAGCTACACAATACAATATTCTGGGTTTTAATTTTTGTATGGTAATATGAATGCAAGGGAAAAAAATCCTAATATTTCTTTTTAGTAACAAGTAGTTTTTGTTTTTACTTTGTCTTTTCAGGATGTCCAGTTGTCTCTGAGCATGTGCTATTCTTATTTTCTTGAAAATACATCTTTTCTTTTTTTTTTCAAATTAGGAAATACACTCTTAATCACATCTATAATGTGACATTATATTTTTTAACAACAGAGCCCCAGGCCGCCATGGCCCCCTTCCTAACCCCCACGGCGGTCACCGCGCTCTTGGCCCTGGGCCTTTCCCAGCCCCTTGCTGCAGGTTCCCCGCACACACCCCTGTCAGTGACGGGGTGCAGGATGGCGGCTTCGTCTTCCCTAGGAGCAGAGCTACCTCTGGGAGATGACAAGCCCGAGCCAGGTGTCTTGGCCACCTGTCCCCCAAGCAGAGCCAGCATCCTTGTCCTTTTAGCTGCCGCCCAGCAGCAGCCCAGGCTGGATACACACAGACAGTTTCACCGCTCAGGTCCCCTGATGGGCTTTCGAGTGAGCCCGGTGTTTTGCATCATCAATACTGCAACAAAAGCCCCCTGCATTTCCAGCAAAGGTGGAAGTGGATGTGGGGGTTTGGGCAGCATTACTTTAGCTACTAGAAAAAGAGGTTTAACAACAGGTACTTTAAAGTCAAGAGTGGCTTCAGCAGCCTTAGGAGACAGAAGAGCGAAGCAGGGGGTGCCGAGCAATGCGGCGCCACGTGCAGCAGCGGCAGGCGAGGACCACAGGTGGCTTGGGAGCAGCACTGTGAAATCACAAGTCTCTCCTCACCGATGGTCACTGACGGCGAGACTGGGCCAGCCCGTCTCGTCACACATCTGAGTGCAATTATTAGACACTCCATGCAAGGAACACAACTTGCTGAGAAAAACCAGCGTTAGTCTAAGCATGAACCTCTACAGACTCAGGACAGCCCTGTGCAGTTAGGTTCCAGTCCCAGGAACAAGCCAGCTAGGGGACGTGTGCCAGATGAGTGGGAAGGCAGTTCTGCCGTTACTGGCTGGTGGCCTTGAAAATAAAAGGACATCTACGAGAATGGCTATAACCCACAGGGCTGCACCACCACCCACTGCCACCTTGCAGATGTTATAGCGTATCTGGGGACATTTCTGGTTGTCCCAAGTAGGGAGGCCACTACTGACCCCTGGTGGGGAGAAGGCAGGGATGCT